GGGGGGGGGGGGGCGGGATGCATGCAGTGCGAGGGACATGGACGGCGTACCGGGCGCCCGGCCACGCTGTTGACGGTGTCCGCCCGGCCGACCGGGTCGTGGCCCAGCCTGACCGAGTGGAAGCGGATGCCGTAAGACATGAGATCTACGTCGGCGGCGTCGGCGTCCGAGGACACAGACCAGTAGCTTTCTTCGAAGGCTTCCAGGGCGTTCAGGGGCCCCCGGGCGCCGGGGCCCGGCAGCGCCCCGGGGTCCATGCCCGCACCCGGGCCCGGGCTGGCATCCTCCTGGCCGGGGGGGTGCGCCGCCTCGGCGGCATTCCGCCGGAAGAGCCCCCGCAGAAGCCCCTCATCGGACCGGGCCCGGCGTGGGGGAGGCGGCCCCGGGCCCGGGAAGCCCGGCCCCATGGCCCGACGTCTGGAGGGCGGGACCAGGTCCTCCGGCAGCGGCCACAAAAAGAGAACCGCCCGATCGACGGCCGGCTGCAGCCGGCCAAAGTAGTCCCCACCGCGGGGCGCCGGCTGGCTGCGGTAAATCCGACTGGCCGGTCGCCCCATCGGCAGGGCATCCGACAGGTCCATACCCCCGGTGAGGGCGGTGCTGGAGTTGGAGCCCAGCCCCAGCGAGGAGGAGGAAAGGTCCCCGGCGATGCTCACACCCGCCGGAGAGAAGGGCACCTCCACGGCCACCAGGCCCTCGGACTGCGAACCATAGCGCAGCTGGTGGAGCACGCGCTTGCGCACGGCACGCGCATACAGATACCCCACCCCGAGCAGGGCCAGGAAGAGAACCATCATGCCGAGGGTGATGCATACTGCCAGGATGACCACCGTCTGCTCGGCGAGGGCAATCGAGACGGCGTCCGGCTCGGCCGGTCGGCCGGCCGCGGTGGCTAGGCCGCCCGGCAGCGGCACCGAGGCGGAGGGCTGCTTGTTGCCGCGCGCGCATGGTCAGAACCCAGCCGCGGGAGACCGACGCAAGATCAAGTCGAGAGGGGGAGATGGCACGCGTGTGTATATATGTGTGTGTGTGTGTGTGTGCGAGAGAGAGAGAGAGAGGGAGGGAGGGAGGAGAGGGGACGGGTGCGCACCATTGCAAGAGAAAGGGGGGAGAAAACAAACAAGTGTTATGTGACCGCCCGCAGATCAGACAGCGCGGCCGGGAAAAGCAGGAGGTGCACGTCCGTCACCAGAGCCATCGGCGTCCCCAGGAAAGGCACAGGGACGAGGGAGCGAGAGATCGGCAGGAAGAGGAGGATCGGGCAGGAGGGCGAGGAAACGAGCAGGGCATCGGAGGCGGGCGCAATCGGGGATGCGGCACCGGCCGTCGGTCCGGTCGGTCTGATGGTCTCAGATCAGCGATCGAGATCCGCGGCCCAGCGGCCGAGGGCAAGGTAGGGGATGTCGAAGGGGTGGCGGCGGCGGCGGCGGCGGCGGCGGCGGCGGCGGCGGCGGCGGCGGCGGCGGCGGCCGACGGAGCCAATCGTGTCACGGCCCTCTCGGCGCACGCCTCTCCAGCCCCCGGAGGCGGAGGACAAGTCAGAGCCGGCCGGCCGGCAGGGTCAAGCGCAAGTCAAGCACGCAGGCCGGCGGTCTGCCTGGTGCCGGCCCCTGGGGCCTCCCGGCGGCGGCGCCGACCGCGGGGGCCCCCCCCCAAACCAGGGGGGGGGGGGGGGGGGGGGGGGCTCCGCACGGCAGCAGCGCCGGTGGCGGCACGATCCGCCAGCGGCCATTCCCGGGCCCGGCGCCCGGGAACAGGCCCAATTCAAAAGGGGTCCTCCGATCGGCGGCCGTATCACGCGACCAGGGCCGTGCAGCGGAAGACCGGCCGGCTGCCTGGGGGGGGGGGGGGGCTCGCGCGGCCAACCCCAACGCGCCGGGGGCCGCCCCGGCCGCGCAGAAGGTCGCTGATCGCCCGGCCACCGGCAGCCGGGCGCGACTTCGCCATGCATTGGGAGCTGGTGTTTATGCCAACTGAAGGGGCGTGTATTGGTTCCGGCCTGCCGGTCTCCCTCCCGGGGGGGGGGGCCCGGGGCCTCGCCTCAGAGGAAGTACACGTGCGAGCGATTGAGCTGGTAGGTACAATAGTAGCAGCTCCCACTGCCGGGGGGGCTGGTCGCCGGGGCGGGCCCCGGACCGGCGGCCGCCGCGCCGGCCGACGTGGCCACCGCCCCGAAGAGAGCTTGCCCGATGCCGCTCGACCGCCGGGGTCGAGGCTGCCCCGAGGTGGCCCCGGCATCGAGGCCGGGGGAAACGGCCGAGACGCCGCCGCCACCGGTGCCAGGGGCAGAGGCGGAGGCCACGGCCGCGCCAGTCCCGCTGGCGTGGCCACCCTGCGCCGCCGGGGTGGGCATGTGTGAAGGGTGGTGCGGGGCACCAGATGTGGTGGCGGCGGCGGCAGCGGCCGGGGAGGCGGCCGAGGAGGCGCCCCCGGCCGGCGGACACCGCCGGTGCCGCCACATGCCGCACTTGCAGCGGACCGTGTTCTCGGAGAAGTGGAACTCCGACTGGTAGCAGAGCGAACACACAAAGGCGCACATCTGGCACCGCTCGCAGTGCTTGATGTGCAAGATGAGATACTCATTACGCAGGAAGGTGCGCTCCAGCAGCGAGTATTCCTTGGACCGGCGGTGGATCGGGAGCTCGGCCGCCGAGAGGGCCGCTTCGCCATGGGACGATGTCGTGGACGCGCGTCGGGAGGGGTCGTTGTCGGCCGGCGAGGGCCCGGCCGCGGCCCGGCGCTCCGGCGGCCGGGAGCTGGTCCGCGGCCGCCAGGAGCTCGGCACCGGAGGCGGGCCGCTCGCCCCGGACGCTGAGATGGTGGTGGACCGGCTGCGCGATGCGCCTGGCTCGGCGGTCGGCGGGCTGTTTCCGGGAGGGCCCCCCCGCCCCATACACACACACACACACACACACACACCGAGCGGAGGAGACGCGGCGCAGGGGGATCGGAAAAGGGTGCGTGTCAGTGCGGAAGCGAAGGAACGGGCAGATCGCCACAAATGCCAGGGGGTGTTGGGCGCACGTGGAATCCGAGCGGGGGGCAAGGTCGCCGGAGGCCGGGAGCACGAAGGGGACCGCCTCGGTGGTGCCCGGCACCGCCGGATCCGAGGGATTCACCGCCGGGCCCGGGCCCGGCGCCGCCGACGGGACATCCGTGACCGAGGGCATCGGCGGCGAGATGCTAATCACACAGGAGGGCGACAGGGACTGGATGTATCGCCGGGCCGGGCGCATGAAGCTTTCCGACAGGACAGGCGACTTGTGCAAGCTCAGCAGATCACTGAAGGTATATATCCCGGGATTCTCGTAGAGATGTGGCGCGTCAAAGTACACCCGTTCCAGGAGACTTGTCATGGCAGGGGCGAGAGGGTCAGGGCTGGCAGGCATGATGGGAGCCCAGGGCGCAGGGCGCAGGGCGCAGGGCGCAGGGCGCAGGGCGCAGGGCGCAGGGCGCAGGGCGCAGGGCGCAGGGGGGGGGGGAGAAGACTGGCAGACGCACCCGAGGCTGCGCGAGCACCCTTGGAGGTACTTCTTTAAGTGGGCCAGCACGCCTTGCAGCTCCTGTGCCATGCCCCGCACCAAGAGCGGAGGGGAGGCCAGACGGGAAGGGGCGGGTCAGGAGATCGATCGGAGGGAGGGGGCGAAGGGCATGCGATGGTCGATGGGTCGAACCTTCATGCGGCGCAGGGCATCAACGTGCACAAAGAGCCGGGGGTTGTGGAAGCGCAAGTCGAACAGCGGTTGCAAGTAAATGTTTTCCATGAAGGACAGGTGCACCAAGCCGATGGGCTTGCTGTGTGTGGGGGGGGGGGAGGTGGACAGCCGGAGAGAGCGGGGGTGAGGGAGACAAAAAAGCCATGGATCAGAGGGAGGCTGGCACGCAGGAGGGGGGGGGGGGGGGCAAGATCCCCGGCAGGCGCGCGGACGGGGGGCGGCACGAACGGGGAGAAATTCCACTCATGGACGATCTGCGACGGCAGGGGATGGGGCTTTTGCGAAATGCACATGGAGCAAAGGACAAAGCCCGTGTAGTAGCAGTAGTGCGCTGATTGGGCCGCATTCCGGGTCAGCAAGATGCGCCAAAGGTGTACATCGGCGAAAGGGGAGCCGGCCTGAGACCAGGGAAAAATGGACCGGCCCGGCCACGCACGCGAGTTAATCCGCCGGGAGCAGCCCGGGCAGAGGTACGACTGGTAAAGGAGCTGGGCGGCCACGCGAGCGGCCGTGGGCTCGGGAAAGACCTCGAGCACAAAGCGCTGGCGCTTGTATGTGGAGAGGATGTCGCCCTGGGCACAGGTGTGTGTTCGGGTCGATGGGGGGAGGGTAAGACAGCAGGGGTCAGCACCGGCAGGGAGACCAAGGCGGTGCCCGACGCAGAGAGGAGCATGTACCCGTCGCAAGGTGTCGAAGGGGGTGGATGTCCGCCGAGCGATGGTCACCGCGCCGGAGCGATTCTCCGCGGCCTAAGACCAGTGGGAGGCAGGTGGGAGGAAGGAGCGGATGGGGAGCAGGGTCAGTTTCTTTGCCGGTGGCAAGATGCGCAGGCAGAGGGTGAGGGGGGGGGGGGAGAGACGGGAGGAGGCGAAAGC